AATAATAATAATAATAATAATAATATTAATAATAATAATAATAACAATAATAATAATAATAATAATAATAATAATAATAATAATATAATAATAATAATAATAATAATAATAATAATAATAATAATAATAATAATAATAATAATAATAATAATAATAATAATAATAATAATAATAATGATAATAATATGAAGAAGAAGCAGGCAGTATTTGCATATCTATAAGTACAGGAGTTTATGCAGTGGTGGTGCTAACGTGCATTGCTAAGGTCGTCTCCTATAAGGGGTGTGACTATAAGTGGCGATGTTTCAACGCAAAAAAAAAGAAAGAGAGAGAGAGAGAGAGGAAATAACGATGCAAGTATTAGAGCTACTAAACAAGAATGCTCCACAGGTAAAAAAAACAACAACAACGCAGTAATTACATTGGCAAAAAAAAAAGAAATCACATTGAATCTTTGAACTTTCTGCACTGGAAAACAAGGTTTGAAGAAAGAGAGAGACTTACCATTAGTATTGTTTCTGCATATTCTGTTTTTTTTTTCTTTCTTTCCTAAAGAGAGTCTTGCGAGAGTACTATATAATATCACTCGGGCACAGGTTCTTTTCCGAGGCGAAGTAATGTCCATGGATCACAAAGGTTCGTGATTGGTCTGCGAGGCGCGCCATCACCACAAGCACCGAAACCACTATAGCGGACGTCGTGAAGGAGGAGGAGAGGCACGTACGAAGGAGCCCGTTGTGTCTCAACAGTCACGTGATCACGTCGCACGACTCGAGAATGAACACAAAATGCTCGAAAGGGACACTATAAAGGAGCACCGAATCAACCTGACGCCCTTTTACATACGTTGGTAACGTTTTCTCGCATACTACCTGCTGATGCAATGTTCGCAAGGACGACCTTCCGTATAAGCACAGAAAAATGAAGCCACCAAATAAACAGTGTCCTGTTTCATTTTGGCTAATCTTTTCCCGCTAGTGTATGTACAGCCATAGCCAAGAACAAGGTAACATAATATTACGAAATATTGCAATGTTTGAATGTTGTTCTAACTTCGTTCGGAAGAAAGATCGGTGAACGAAGGAGAGAGTCGAAGCATTATTGCGCGATCTACACTGCCCGCCGCTAGAACAAAATTGCCGCGCAAATCGCGGAGGTGACGCTCTGTCAGGCGCGATTTCTTCATGTGATTGCAATGCTCGCGCGTAGGGAGCGCTACACTTCCACAAAGTAGCATCACGACAGTGTTTATTGATTTTGCGGATCACTGACTAAAACGCAGTCAAGCTGCAGCTGTCCTACAAGAATAAACTAGACTTAGTCAATTTCGGTAGTAATATAAGCTCGAGTAAAGCAGTTGAAGAACCTATTATGAGCGAGAATTTGTACGCCACAGAAGACAAAAGCGTGTTTTGACAGCGGAATCCTTTTCAAACTCGGCAAGGACTGGTCAAAAAGTGACGTCCTGGACTCTTCGCCATCACTGGGACACATGCCACTGTCGCCCGACTCCACCACGCTGTCCAACTCGCTTCCTTGACAGCTCTGATTGGCTTCAAGCTGGTGCTATTGCAGAATTTGAACGACATGATGGGATTCGTCAGCATCTGGAACAGCATCACAGTTATATGATGGTTAGCTTGATTAGGTGCTCGTTTTAGTGTCCCTTAAAAGAAAAAAAACAGTAGAGGGCGTTGCTGGGCGTTAGCGAAGCAAATGACGGCAGCAGAAAGACCAATGACGTTTTCCGAGCAAGATGAAGGCGGCAATCGGAAAATTCGGCTGACAACACTGTCCATGTACGGAATTGCAGCAAATTGTTTGTGATCTCACAAATGGAATGAACGTTGGTCACTGGACAGGCTAGTTTTTACGCCATTTGGAATGAGCGAGGCTCTCTAAATTACCGATCAGCTAATAGAGGATGGGTTGGCATTTTGGAAAGACTCGAGTGTCTCTTAGATGCTACAGACGATAAGCACTTTTAACTCGCACGTTATGAATGGTCGATCTCTGCGAGCGAGGGTATTGAACAATGTACATTACTAAAGGACCACACAAAATTAATCTTTACATCCATCTAAGGAGAAATCCTTCGCTCTCGCATTTGTGCTCCAGCATGTGATTAGAAAAAAAAAGTGTCCAACCATTCAGAGTACTTAATAAGTCTACTATGGGAGAGCATAAAGCCGTCCCTATACCAGCATACTTCAACATGCAAACGACGCTACATAAAGAATGAGAAAAAAAAGTATTGCTATGTTCGCTGATTTCCTATACTGTGCTCTCCGCAGTTAGGTGCCGAACGATCACTTGATACATCGCTCTAATCCGCACAGGTCCACGCGGCCATGAATTTGCGTCCAGGTCGATACGTTTTTCCGAGTACGATAAGTTTGTGTAGGCATATCTTTTTCGCTCACTCTGGGCCTTCTTCGTTTTTACTATGTCAAAACTTAGAAAACAGATCGTGTGCGTCGTCACAGACAGCAACGTCCCTTCACTTCTGAGCAGGCAGACCAAAGGACACAGGATAAACTCACTTTTGTCCAACAATGATCAACCACAGGACACCTCAGGATTCTGATCGCCAATTCAACGTGACCAAGTCGTTACTTCCGTTCGACGCAGTTCCTTTGGAATTCAATAATCTCGAACAGCGAACCCACTAAAGACTCTTCTGTCGCCAGTAGAGAGACTTGCAGGTGACACAACGAAAGCTGCTTCTCAGCGTGCCTGAACATGGCGGCTAAGCAGCTTACGCAGGCACACAATACGAACATTACCAGTGCTATGCAATACTTCAGCAGACTATCGCCGTTATCGACTCGCACTGTTCGTTCTCAACACGAGCTTGTGCGCTTGATCCTGTCTGCGTTAAAGCATATACCGTGATGTGGCAGTACTCTAATACGGGCTAACCCCACAATGACGCTATAACGAACTATTAACGCCATCTGTTAGCAGAAACCATTGCAGTCCTGCAGCCGTCGTCTGCCTTTTTCTAGCAGATGACCTGTACTTTGACGTCGCCGGTGTCGCACATGCTTACCACGGGTATCCTTTTTCTGCCGGGTCCATCTCATATTAGTTTAACAGATAAGCCAGCGTGTGCTTTGATTCCCGCGCATGCGCGAAAGAGATTCCACAACGACACCGTGCGGACGAAAGGCGCAGTACACCCCGAGCTGTTAGGAACCTGGGGTGCCGAGTGTGAAAAAATAAATACCACTCGCTGTACTTCATAGTGACAAAAAATGCACGTGCTTTTCAGTACTTGCGAACGCGATAAAAAGGAGTAAAAGCGAAAGAAAACAGCTACAGACTTACTCCGCGTTACTTTCCACTATAGACCGCATATTTTGATTCTCGTGCAAGCGTTTAGACCAAACATGCAAAATCTCTAGTTCATTTATCTCCTGCCGATTTGCTCAGCGGGGGCTTGATTACGCTACAGATCATGGCGATCGATCATTGGCGGATAAAGACTGGAAGAACGCAGTCGGGATCGTTGGATTCACCTGACTCGCATCACGCCAGCCTTAGATGGCTGAGCTCCAAAAGCGACGAATATTCGGGTGTATGCGTATTAAGAAAAAAAAAAACGAGGGTAGTAATAAAAGGGCACTGCGTATGACGAACATAGATAGGGGAATGCTGAAGATGTGCACTCTTGTAGTACTGCGTTGTCTGAAGTTGTGTTGCCTGAAGTTGTGGGCATGTTCCAGAACATAATTCATTGCTATAGTTTCGCGCTTTAGTTTGACCATATACCCGACTTACGTGAGGTAAATGCCACAATTCGCGGACCACACTACTTTGGGGTGACTCGCGCTGGCATCGCCTATAGGATGTTATTGCACAGGTGCAGCATGCAGTTTCCCAACGAATATACAGCAATAGTAAGTTCAGGAAAGAACGAGTTTTCAATGTTGTGTGGCATGTACATTTTGCTCGAGTTACGCCTGTTTTCGCTTGGGCTGGAATCTAAAGATACTCGCCAGGACTTCGATACCAACAAGTCCCGCACAGTGCGTTTACACTCGAGTTTTAGCAACATGGCCACACCCAGCCGACGTCACTGGGAGCCGTCTACAACGTGATGCCAGAACGATTGAGCAGCGCGAGCCACCGGAGCCGCGGAAGAGTGGTAACAGGCAGTATAAGCTGTAGCCTTTGTGGTTACTTTCAAGGGAACAACTTGGACTCACCCAGAGGAGGGTGAGGCTGATCACAGAGTCTGATTACTATGCAATTGACAAAAGGACTAATCACTGAAAAGACAAAAGCGTCGAGGAGCACCGTGGCGGGAGCAAAAGAAAAAAAAGGGGGGGGGTCACAATTCTGCTTTCAGCAGCTACTTCGTTATCAGATCACGCTGAAGCAACGCCCTCTACAACAAAACCAGTGCTATGGAGGAATGAATGAGCTAGGGAAGACAGCAACGCGTTACGAAGCCAGCCTCTGCAAGCGAAGGAACTATCCTTCGCTATTGGCCTCGCTGTATATCGGCCCGTCAAAGGACGTCTGAGTCCTTATGGAGAGTTGTTCTGGACATTGTCGAATTCCGCCATTGGCCAACTAGATAGGCTTCAAGGCATGCTACGCCATCTGTAATTATCTTAACAATGCCGCCGTTACGGCATTCGACAATATCACGGAGTTTGACAGTGTCCATAATAGCGCATTAAGTCCACTTGCGTGGCGGGAACGCTCTGGCGTGCCATTCACGTGTGGGCCGATGCTCCTCCTTGCATTTGGCTTCAAACGCGTCACGCTATGCGCTTCCACCCGGATTTTTCCTTCCTTCAAGATGGCTAACGCAGTAACTGCACGCTAAATCAACGCGGATTCTGAGAAGAAAGTAACAACAAAACAAATGTCGCGTCGTCCTCACGCCACCCACCGACGGACTCGCATACATGTCGTCATGACAAAAGCACAAAGACACACACACGCACACACACTCACACACACCGTAAGATGACATCGGCGTCGCGTTATTGCTGCTTGTCGGGCTGTTGCTGCGACGACGAAGGCGAGGTGACAGCGTGTCCCGGTGTACCGCACTCGGTGTCCTGTTCGGCGATCTCGCTCTCAAGCATGGCACGCACCGCTGCCGAAGAGTCCGTGGGGGCGGCCGAAGTTTTATTAGAGTCCCTGGCGTCCTTCGTCTTGTGGCTGGACTTGCGCTTGAGCGAGTGACTGCGGCTCTTGCCATCCGAGGTGTCCTGCCTCGAAGAAGTCTTCCCGCCGCCTCCGGCACGTCTGGAAGAGCACGAAGTCACCGTTGCACTCTCGCCCGCTACGTCGCCGCAGGCCTCCGGTGGTGGGTCTCCCCTCGGAGGCGAGGAAGGCCCGCTTCCGCCACTTCCGGTGCTCTTGAGCAGTTCCATGAGGTGCTCGTCTATCCTGGACACCTTGGTGTGCAACCTCTGCATCTCCATCTTGAGGTCTACCCTCATGTCCATCAGGTTCGCCAGAAGCTGCTGGTAGTCGCGCCCGCCTCCGGCCCTCGGAGACAGGAGGCTTTCAGAAGGCTGAGACGGCGCCTGGGGCGCCTCAAATGGTGGAAGAGGGGGAGGCCTCTGGGGAGGCTGTTGTTGGCAGTGCTGATGTTGTACTTGTTGCTGTTGTGGGTGATGCTGGCGAGGCGGAGGGCCCTCTTCGCTCTCGCTGCCTTTGCCTGGACTAGAAGTCTCTGGCTCTGCCGTCTCTTCGATGGTCTCGTGCTTGGAGCTCATGCTCTTGGCCCACTTGGACAGGCCCCGTAACGGAGTGGTGCCGGTGGTGGCCCCGCCGTTTGAAGGCGGACCAGCTCCTCCGGAAGCACTGGGTCTCGGTGGAGGAGCGAGCGTGGTGCTGGCGGCCGCGGCTGGCTGTTCTTTGATGGATGGCGTCGCGGGAGCAGCTGTCGGTACCGTCGGCTTGACGATGACCTGTGGTAGAAAGGTTTAATATAGTCATCATAAGAGAACTTAAATGCACCGGGAACGACTATGTGAGGGGAAGGGGTTACAGGACCGTGAGAACGACGTCATTAGGGGAACTTCCGATATTGTAGTATTGGATGATGAGCTTTGAGCTATGAATGTTCAGAAATCATCTGAGTGTAATCTTCTAACTTGAGTAAAAACGTTGGTGCTACTATAGTCCTCTGTAGGGTTTCGTGTTGCCTTCCACTTCATGGGTTGTATTTTAGATTAAACTTGGACACAACTTTGAAGCTCACATGTTCAATAAAACTGCTTTTTAAACGCGACAACTTTCCGCTCGAGAAGAATGACTGAACAGCTGTGGCATCTGAGACAAAGAACAAATGGACAAAACTAAGAACTTGTGGCCGATCTTAAGGTACTTTCATTCCTTCTCTGCCCCATCTTCTGAGTCTTTCTTCTCTCGCTAGAAAATGTTGTGTTCGATGTTCCCACTAGCTCAGCTTACTGCTTTAAGCACTATTCGTTATTTGTGCTGATGCTGGAACGCTTACGCTCTCTCGGAGAGCGTAAGCGTAATTAACGGACAGTGTCCGTTAATTATGATCTTTAATTGCATTCGATGCACACAACTCAGTTAATTGAGTGCACATGTCGCTACCTGGTGCGGCTGTGCGTTGTCCGCCGGCTGATTCTCCTTGTTGTCTCCGGTGGAGACGGAATCCGATCGCAGTGCCGCCCAACGGGACAGTTTGGGGGCGTGTGTAGACGTGGGCGGAGCCTCGGAGATGTGCACCACCTTTGGCACCGACTGGGGCTGAGGCGCCAAGCCGTCGTGGCTACTCGCCACGATTGCGGGTACCTGAGACGCCGGACGGACCTGAGGAGGAATGAACGTTTAAACATGGCCTTCGAGATGAAGAACGTGTAGACTCAGTATAACCTCACAAGAGCCAACGAAATCCTTGTGACGAAACGTTTTTTTTAGTTAGCTCCTGTACTATCAGAATGTCTGTTAGGATTCCGAAAAGCTACATGTTATAACAAATGCATGGGCTTGTACAAGCACCTCCGTATATGTACAAACCTATACTCAAGTGACTGGCCCAGTCGTTTCGTGATAAGCGTCCTTTCATTGACGCAGTACTAGAGGCAGATTTACTTTTTTTTTGTAGCATAATGAAGCAAAACCTCGTTCATGCGTTCGTGCTAAAAACGCGGGAAATAACACTCTGTCTCCGCAAACTTACAATACGAATTCACTGAAACGTCATGCTGTTTCGCTTGGTAATGATATCGCGAATTTCAACACCGAGAAGTCTTGCGGAACGAGAACCTGTCAACAGGATGCAGTGCTGCGTGTACACTGCAGCAAACAAACAAACAAACAGAATAACACAGCCATTTGCTTTCTTAAAAAGTACTCCTAACCAGAAACAACGCCGAAAAATTGTTTCTACAAATAGATGTGATGGCGCATTTACGAGCCCACACTTAGTGAGCAGCATGTCTTCTTCCGGCACTATGACCTGTCGAGATATAGCAAAGGATTACCAGAAGGTCGCAGGATTCGATCCCGACAACGGAGGTCAAATTTCAGTGGCTGCAACACACCAGAGGCCTGAATACTGTGCGATGTCAATGCACGTCAAAGAACACCAGATGGTTGAAATTTCTGGAGCCCTCCGCAACGGCGTCTTTCATAATCGTGTCTTGGTCTTGGGACTTAAACCCCAAGGTATCTTTATTAAGATATACCAAAGGATAGAGGGATACGATATAGAGCTAAGGGGGAAGAAAAGGAACTCACCAGGGCACCCTTCTCGACGTCGGGTGAGGGCAGGATGGCGAGCGGGGAGGAAGGGGCGCGGCCGTGGTCCCCCATGGTGGGACCTCCTCCCGCCGGAGTGGTCGCCGTCGAGCTGGCCGAGCCGTTCTTGCGGAACTTGGAGAATATCTTTCGCACCAGGTGGTCCTGGGACAGTTCCTGGAGGGGCTCGTGCTTGCGCCTCTCGGCGAGTTCCTTCTCGCGCTTCACGTCAGACACCTTGCGGAAGATGAGCTACGGGACGAGATAAAAGGAAGGAGAGAAGTGAAGGACGCCAGAACGAGAACTTTATACCACCGTAAGTAGCAGAGTACGATAGCACGACAAATACAAGCAGCATACAAAAAGGACGTAAGTCATCTTGTCCAACACAGATCGGTGCGCTCCGTGTGAACTACGTTTCCGGTGCGCCAAAGTCCTTTACCGAAGTAAACAAAAGGCAGCTCGTGAAACCTGAAAAGCATTTTTCTATTACGAAAGCAGGCGGTGATTGTATAAGCGACACGTCCATTGCGTCGTACAATGCTGAAATAAATTTCTGTCGCACCCAGTGGCATACCCTCAACCTGGATCATCTCCATTTTTCGTTGTGAACATGTGTCTGCGCCACCTGTAAATATACACCATTGTTTTCGAATCGTTAACGTCGCCATCTTTGAGCGTATAAACCGATTCTTCGCCAGTTTTCTACGTACGTAATATGAAATTGTCATCAAACGTTGAATGTGCTAACCCAACCGTTTCCGAGCGTGCCAGTTCACCAGTAGCCTTGTTTGTTTATCTGATACGGATACAAAACTGCATCGTTTTCACTCAAAGATGGCGGCACATAACACGTTTGGAAAATGGTCGACACAAACATGCGGATCGGCCTTCAATAAAATCAGCTGTCGCTTGGCACCAGTGTTCGTCTTTTCCTTTCGGCACTCTGTTTCATTGTTCTACGATAACGTTATTATTCGAACAACAACTCATCCAAGATTCAACTACTTTTAGCAACAGAGAACGAGAGAGATAACCAGCATGTCCAAGCCCTGTGCCATCGTAGAAAGAAAAGCAGGTTATGATAGCCGAAACTATACCAGCGTGAAGTGTGTTTATCATCCTTCGGAGTGGTCCCGTAGAAACTGGCTTCGAGGGGTCTCCTAGAATCCCATGAGGAACGAGGGACCCGTAATACTACAACGACTTTACCTTGTGATTAATTCTATTTTTGAAGTTCTGAGTCACTTCTGGACTTCTGGAGTCGCAAGCGCATGCTTACTCCAGAATCCCAGATTCTACAATGCGCGTCGACTTCTTTTCGACTGCTTTTGATTGCGCTAGCAATATGGACACTCGAAGCACGTGTTTTTCGTCGCCATCACTGTCATGTTCCGTACAAAGTCTTCTGTTGCCTCCGTGCACAAGCATGCACTGGAAATTTATGAAGGTTTAGAAGGAAATGCGAAACAAAATTGTTAGCATTACGTTTAACTACCTCGGACTGCACTCAGTGACATTACTGGCGAGCACTGGCTCACACTACTCGACGTAAACTCGCACTAACCAGCTCTGAACAACACTATTCAACAGATGACAGTCAGGCTTTCGACAATAGTTTGTGCCAGTATCGGGTGATGTGCATGAGGTGTACCTTTCGTGACGCTGGCTTCAGGCAAACTAATTAGGTATTACATTTTATTTCTTGTCTCAGCTCATTCTGAGCATTAGAAAAAAAAAAAATAAAGGAAGGAGCACTGCGCTTACCTCGAAGCTCTTCCACATTTACATAGAGTGCGAATTTTTCTTACACGCGGGCATATGATGTGAAGAGCTAGCAAAAGAGTAGACGTAGCGTAAAGACAGATTAGTGAGCAGGGTTGCATACGAGACAAAGAAGTCATAACACGAAAGAAAACGAAAATGAAGAATAATAAACAAAGAGGCACCTTTATAATAAAAGAAAAGGCCGCGACCTTCAACGCTAGAGATAGCTGGGTGTTTGCGGACCACTCCTGAGCGTCGGAAGCTATCAGCACTTTCAACAACAACGACAACATCAACAACCGAGTTCATTAGAATTTACCAGGAGCGGCCTTCTCAAAGCCGCGGCGTCTTGTTTTGGGGCCAAGGCATCTGCATCATGAGCCTTTATTTTTATTTTTTTTTCTCTCCCTCTCTTTACCTCCCCTATTAAAAAGACTGCTAATAGTTACAACAGGCCAGTGCTGCGATTCGCATCAAATAATAAACACAGCACACTGAAAGGAGGATGTAAACGAAAAAGAATGAAGCAAACAAAACAACGTATAAGGAACATTCGACTCAACGAAGATGGCGAAAAAGCGGAAAAAAAAAAAAACAGATGGGGAAAGACGGCGAAGAACACCGCGCCCCATGGGAGACAACGATGCATAATGAAGGTTCCAATCTTTCATTTTCTCCCAAGAATGCTGTTTTTTTTAATGAGAAGTGTATGAGCGAAGTACGCGAGGGAAAAAAAATGAAAGGAAAAAGAAGAGAGATAAATGAACGTACCAAATTATGAATTGAGAAACCGAGAGAGAAAAGAGATGGACGGAAGAGAGAAGCACGAAACGAAGGAGAAGAAGAAAGGAAAGGGTGCGGGAAATTAGAAAAATTGAGAGAGCTGAAAGTACAGATGTGCATAAAAAAATGATACATGGGGAGACTGAGAAAATAAGCTTGGGGTGTTAAGGAGTTTAGAAGAGCGCCCATGAATAGAAACAAGGATGCAGGGGAGGGGGGGGGGGGAATGACTAAAGAAGCTACGAGGGTTGAGGATCTTAGAACGCTTCATATGCGTAGAAAACAGAACGCGTTGGAATAATGAGACATTTTAGAAGAGTTTCTCGCTGGATAAGTTTGTGCATGTCTATGTTTAGAACTACACATACAGACAAACAAATGCAGGAAAAACGGGAGGAAAGAAATTAGAAAAAAAAACAAGGACAGTAAAGAGAGCTGGAGTAAATGGGAAAAGATGGGGTAAGGACGCAGACGGAGCCGTGAAGGGAAGAGATAGGGAAGATAGTGCATAAAAAAGGCGTAGGTACGGGAAAGACTGAAAGAATGGAGAAAAGGGAAGAGGGCTATAGGGAAATTAGAAAAATTGAGAGAGCTGAAAGTACAGAGGTGCATAAAAAAATGATACATGGGGAAGACTAAGAAAATAAGCTAGGGGAGTTAGGAGGTTTAGAAGACGCCCTTGAATAGAAACAAGGATACATGGCGGAGGGGCGGAATGAGAACTAAAGAAGCCTCACGAGGGTTGAGTGATCTTAGAACGCTTCTTAATCGCTAGAAAACAGAACGTCGTTGGAAGAATGAGACATTTAGAAGACAGTTTCTCCGCTGGAGAAGTGTGGCATGTCTATGTTAGACCTACACATACAAACGAACAAATGCAGGAAAAACGGGAGGAAAGAAATTAGAAAAAAAAAATACAAGGACAGTAAAGAGAGCTGCAGTAAATAGGAAAAGATGGGGTAAGGACGCAGACGAAGCCGTCAAGGGAAGAGATAGGGAAGATAGTGCATAAAAAAGGCGTAGGTACGGGAAAGACTGAAAGAATGGAGAAAAGGGAAGAGGGCTATAAAGAAATAGAAAGATGGAATTGGCATGAAGAGGAGAAGAAGAAAGGAGAAAAAGGGATGTGAGAAGGGACTGCGTGTACAGGGATAAATAGGGGGAAAGATAAGCGAGGCTGTAGAGAAACGCAGAGGAATCGAGTTGAGAACTAGCTTATTAGGGAAAACAACTTAGGAAGAATGTAGGTATCCCAGAGAGATACAATAGGTACAGAAGGAAGGCGACAGCACAAGAGTACAAAATCACGAGGGCGAAATAGGGATATGATGAGCTAGCAAAAGAGTAGACGTAGCATAAAGACATATTAGTCAGCAGGGTTGCATACGAGACAAAGAAGTCATAACACGAAAGAAAACGAAAACGAAGAATAATAAACAAGGAGACGGAGGAACGGAGGGAAGGAGAATCCCATCGCGTGCTTGCGCCCGCGCTGTAACGTAAGCCGCGCAGCGCTGGGCATGCATGTATAGGGAATGCCTTTTCCCCGCTTAAGAGCCGCTCCCACCCCGCACGACAAGCGGGCGGGCGGAATTCCGAAGTGGAAGGGATTCCCGACAAGGACATCTCCCCCACTTCCCCCCTCTCGACCCTGGCCCCGTTTCGAGCCTCCCTTCCGTCTCCCGAATCGGGACGCAGATGCGTAAAAATATAATAAGCGAAGGCACACGCCGTCATCCCCCAGTGATCCGGGCCAGGGGTGTCGTCGGCGACGGGTCAAGGGCCCTCCTCGGCGCGTCCACGTTTTTTTTTTTGCACGCACGTACGCTGTTGTCCCGCCGCTTAATGCCGAGCGTTTAGAGCGATAGCGCTGCGTTCGGCAGCTTTTCCCATTTTTGCTTTTCCCCCAGCTCCCCACATCCCCAAACTCTTGCGTGAATGGCCGCAGGTAAATTGAAAAAGGAAACGATGCGACGTACGCGAACGGCTCTGAAAGAATGAATGCGTCGAGGCACGTGATTCCCGATTCTAGAAGTCGGTCCCGACGCTTTTCGCTCTCTTCTCTCTCAGGGTATTCCCAGATATCCCCCTTTTTTTTGTGGGTCAGGTCAGACGGCTGCGAAGAGGACGGTTGCTATAAAAAGGTTGATAGAGGCAAGGCGCCGGCACGCGCTGCTATAAACGGAAACGAGACGAAGGCGTGGGCCCGCAATTATGAAGCGGCCGAGACGCCCCACGTACGCGATCCGTGCGCGGCCCGGCGAAAAGGTGTCGAGGACAATCTGGTTGTCGTGGTGTATACGTCATCGCTCGGCGTTCCCGCGCGGCCCAGATACGGGGCCGCGGAATATTCCTTCGCGTGACAGAGCGCGCGGGCGGTTAATATAAACGCCGGCGACGTTTTATCGGAGTAATGAATGCAAGGGACGCACGCTCGGCTCTACGGTATCGTCCTAGGATATTGTTCTAGATCAAGAAAGAGAGAAGCGTTCTTGGGCGAACGGGAGTGGCCATTTCATGTGCGTGGGTGTAGAGTTTCCTAAAATTAACTAGAGGGAACTCTGGCACTGCGATCGTTCAGCGACCATGGGAATGATGGGTACTACACAAATTTGCCTAGTCTTCGTACTCGCGGGCGGCGAATCGTACTTCCGGCTTCGTTTATTGCCGGTTACGTTTTTCTTGTGAAGGAAAGAACGAACCCTTTTGAACTTTGTGACCAGATTGAAAATGGTAATCCTAAAAGAATAAGTTGTGACGCGCAAACGCTGAACATTTGCTGATTTATTTTTCGTGAGAAATCAGCTCCAAGCCACACGAACAGCACATGGAGCCAAAAGCAGGGCGGAAGTACGGAGATTAGGCAAATCCGTGTACTACCCATCATTCCCATGCTCGCTGAAGCGCCGTGCGTTGCAGCTCCCATAGACACTAGCGCCAGAGTTCCCTCTAGTGTATATTAGGAAACTCTATGTGCGTGAGAACGTCTTTTCGCCTAATGATAGGAAAATGAATCTCCAGGCAACTTACTGGCCTCCGCCAGGTAATCGATACAGACGTTTTCAGGAGGCAGACCCTAACGCTATTTTTCGCCTGAAGGCTATAACTAAGCGAAGTAAAATTTTGGTGGCACGGCAGTGGTAATAAGTGCTATTGGTATGAAATTCACTCGCAACGCATTTTAAAGGTAGACAAAGTTCTATACGAGCTCAAAAGTAGTTTCAAAATTAGTTAAGCGTTTTTAAATTTTTTTTGCAATGATCAGAGAAAGAAGAGTAATAACTTCACCCAGAGCACAAGGGAATAGAAATACAAAGTCTGGTCATGCAGGAATATTTTTATGAAGGCTAATTAAAAGAAACGTTGCACTGGTTTTTTAGTATTTCTATACCTAGTCTTTGTTAAGATACGCTGTTCAAACAGTATTGCAATCATGCGCAACTATAGCTACATACACTTTGCAGATGTGGAACTAAAATTGTGAGCAAATAACAAAAACTACATTTTTTTGTATTTCACGTTCGTCGATATGTAGAAATTGTCACTTATGACTGTTTTTTTAATTCCAAAAATACAAATTCACCTGGGTTATTGATCCTAGTTCAAGTTATGTATATGCCACTAATTACTACGAGTGAATTTTTCGCACTTATGCCCGCAAGTTCTGGTGAAAAGTTATCCCATATTTAGAAATATTGTTAAAAAACCACAAACGTTGCGTAAACGTACACGCGCCTTTCATGTGAACGTGTCAAAGAAAAAGAATAAAAAGTTATTTCCGAAGCCGCGGGCGCTGCAGTGTGACATATATTCTGAAAAAAAAAATCCTATCAGGTGATTGCACGATCCGAATTCAGCTTTTTGACGAAAGAAAGTCTCGGCCTATTTTACCTCGGCGCTACGCGCACCTTGTTGGTTTTGCAGGCAGCCGTGATTGTAAAAACTGCCATGTAGATGAACCAATTGATTGATATGTGGGGTTTAACGTCCCAAAACCACTATATGATTATGAGAGACGCCGTAGTGGAGGGCTCCGGAAATTTAGACCACCTGGGGTTTTTTAACGTGCACCCAAATCTGAGCGCACGGGCCTACAACATTTCCGCCTCCATCAGAAATGCAGCCGCCGCAGCCGGGATTCGAACCCGCGCCCTGCGGGTCAGCATGTAGATGAACCAAAAGTACTTGTATTTTTTTAAATGTCCGCTGTACCGGTCACAGCGGGAGACTCAGGGTTTAGGCTGGCGGCAACTGGAGTCGAAACACTGAAACTGTATTTGGTACACGGTGTGTGATCAGAAGGTGTCAACAACTGGTACAAGGTCAGTTACAGACTATCTGAAGAGCTGTGGAACTGGGTACAAGACTTTAAGGAATTGTAATTACGCGTCACTTTTACAGCAGAAGCAGTTACGAGATCACAAATCAGGTCACGCGCAATTGTCCGCTGCCACCGCCGCCACCGGTGTCCGCAACCACATCGCGGGAAATTGAAAAAAACCCCAAAAAGCCTTGCACCAGAGACACAGTGGGGCTCGAAAACAGGGTCTGCTGGGTGCCAGCCCAGTATTCTGCCACTGAGCTACGCCGGTGCTATTGACTTGTTCGCAAACCTAGCACCGAAGACACAGTGGGGCTCGAGCCCGGGTCCGCTCAACGCCATCCCAGTATTCTACCACTGAGCTACGCTGGGGATGACGACTTGTTGGCAAACTTGCCTTAGGCAGGCTTGATGTCGGGAAAGCAATCGCGCTAATACGACTTACAAAGCGTTTTAAAACAGCGAAAGAACAACCAGTCGTCGCACAATACGAATAGCGCAACGAGTGGGCCGTCCAATGCTCCAGCCTGTTAGAAAAGCTTGTTCTTGTTCCTCTATTAACTGTGGCGCATACTCACTTCAGCCATTATTCCTCATCGTCGGCAGGTACTGCATGGACATTTAGCACGAAATCCCTTGCAAACGTTTAGCGGGTATCACGCTTCTCAAAAGAATGACGAATAATAGCACAGCGAATGTCAGTCTACTATTCAACAGTTTATTATTTATGCCCTAGAGGGTATCATTCAAGTGTGCTTGTAGTAGTTACCCAATGAGTGTCTTGAAAAAGCTCTGAGAGGCCGCTCTTCTACCCTTCGCTGTGACTGTGCTGCGCCTTTCGCGCAAGCCTGGCGTTCTTTCATCTCTCCATCACGACTATACTTCACCGCATCAATACCACCGCCTTTCTTTTTATTTTGTGGCTACTAATAAGTCCTGATTCTCTCTATCTCTGTTTGAAAGTAGGAACATCAACGGTCAAAAATTTCCCCTTTGCTGCCGCCTTTTGCCGACCCTTATGATATTACGCCTTTAAAATGTTACTATTGAATATACACATGTGCTATAGTGACAGTTAATTGAACGTTGCGTATTTCTTAAGTATTACGCACTGATAGGGATTTCCGAGAAATTTAAACAAAGCGAACTTCCCGCTTGCTTGTTAAGCTGTTTTCGCCGCATAAAGTGTGTTTTTGCGGCAGTGCACGCTTTACAGTAACTCTTGCAGCCTGGCTTTGTTGGCGTTGGTATCTGTAATGCAGACCGAATTCTCGAATTTTCTTTTTCAGTTAAGGCACCTGACCAGTTCCGGGCTATTCGGATTGAAACGAACGCTTGAACTTGATACATTTAAGTTATTATTGTTGAATTCGGCTGTCCTTGAAACACACGAGACTTGTAGATAAAAGAAGAGGAATTTACTTTGAACTCAGAAGAACGCGCACTGCCCCACAGACTACGGAACTCCACGCAGGCTAACTGTACGTGAATATCATCGTCAACGTCGTCGTTTTATCCTTCGCGCAACAACAGAACACGTACATCTGCTGGTGTCGCTAGCAATTTGCCAACATTCAGGAATCTACGGTTTCATAAAGCGGTACTTTCTGGCAGGTACATTCTGGGACATTTACCGTACAGTTGGGAGCAATATAAAAGGGAACACAAAACTCTTGTTCAATAAGCGATTACTTGAAATGTAACGGTATCGATGCGACGTATGAAATTACCAGGCACTTGTGCGTTATTCAGTATTGGGAACGCTTATGCGCATGCCAACTTCGTTTATACGCTGTGACCTTTACCAAGTGATTTCGATGCAGTCTTTCCTCTCATGTTGTTAACAAATGTCTTGCTTCTCATTTGCATTATCGCCTCAATTATGTCCGTCATTGTCATTGTCACCATCATCAGTATAGTTATAAGTTATTATTGTTTGTCAGTCTCTTCCAATTCGTCGACTTTGTTTGACCAGCGCGATTGCTGCGCGGGATGGTTTAAGTATATTCTGAGCTATTTTAGATTGCCTTAATTACCTGCTACCTAATTATGGTTTTTGTAGCACTATAACGTTTCCGCACTTATCGCTAGCGCTTATCTCGAACGAGCTATTTTCCTGTAAGGATTTTTGTCTTGGCTAAATTCCAAGGACGAGGAAATGTTTAGAGGCATTGCACCGTACATACAGTTACTATGAATTGAAGCAGCTAGCTATAACATAGCCGAATTGCCTTGGTGGCGAAGAAATCAACACCGCCGCTTCTGAATTTATGAACGTGGCAGTCAAATTTTCTCCTTGGCTGTTTCATTCTTCTCTCTCTCGTTGCTATTACATATTTCATCAGCTTCTCCATTAACAAAGCTGCAGGTGTCTCGAAGGCAAGGCAGACACAGAAACGCTTAAAATCGAAGCTGCCCGCATTGCTCTAGCAAAACACCTGCGGAGCTCGAGACACCTGTAGTTTCGTTATATAGAAACTTGTGATTAATCGGAAAAAGATTCATTGGAGTTAGAAGGAATAAAAAATAATTGGATGAACGAGTACATAAGTACGCAGACATACAAATCGGAATGAATAAACAAGAAAATGAGCGAATGAGTGAGTGAGTGAGTGAGTGAGTGAGTGAGTGAGTGAATGAATGAATGAATGAGAAAGGAGCTACACTTACCCTGTGCCTGAGGTTGTATGTGAGCAGTAGGTTTCGCGCGAAGGAGTTGGCGAACGCGTGGTAGAAGTTGAGCACCTCGAGCAGCTTGTCTCTCTTGATGGAGTGCAGGTCGCAGTAGGTGAGCGCGCGCACGTTGGCGCACGATTGGCCAATGGTGGGCTCCTTCCAGAACGCGTCACCGAACACGTCACCGCGACCCAAGATGGCGACCACCTCGTCGTCCTGGATCACCTGCACAAACAGGAGGCCACCGGATATTCAGAAGACGACAGTGAGCGCATGGTATACGGGTATTTATTCGCATACAAAGGGGTACCAGGCCACCAGCGATAGGAACGTCGTAGTGAAAACAAAACAAAAAAATACTAGGACTGTGCGGATAGCGCGGCACAATCATAGCAAAAGCTTGAAAAGCGGCTTTTCTAGAGCTCATTGTAGATTTTCTTTGGGCTTCTAATACAAGTACTAATGCAAGGTACCCACTACGTCATACGTCATCCTCATTTTTTGCAATGTAGGAAAGCATCATTCATGACATTGTTCGTCATTTTGCAGAGAAGCGAGGCACTATCTACGCAGCTGTAAAGCATTGTGTGCATGTTATTGATGTTGTGGATTATGACTATGAAAAATCATGGCTGATCCCTTTGTGACAAATGGGGAAGCTTAAATCACCCACTCGTTACGATATTCCCATTAAGTGCTGCCTGGCTGTTATTGTCCTTTTCTGTCCCGCTGTATTACTTGCTACGCTGGTTCTTTACATGACATGGTGTATTTGTGGTGTGTGCGTGCGTGTGTGTGTGTGTGTGTGTGTGTGTGCGTGTGTGCGTGCGCGTGCGTGCGTGCGTGCGCGCGCGCGCGCACGCGAAGGAGTTTCTTCAAGCACCGGTTTGGCTCTGCTGTAGAAGACTCGAATGCCACGAAGAGGGGTAGGTTTGAAATCACGCTCAATCCACAATATTTTTCCGCATTTCGTGCGATAGCGGTTACACACACAGGTGGACAACTAAGCCACTTAAATCTGCTGTTACTGTACGCTCATAACACTTTTAACTGTGAAGGAGTGCGCATTTACTCGCATTGATGCCGGTATGAGGTGCAGAAGCTTGTTGTACTTATCGGTGGGCCCGAGTAAGAGCCACGTTGGTAAGAGTGATGGATAAGTTTTCAGCTTGTCATTCAATCTATGATCATCATTCAACTTACCCAGTCCGCTAGTCAGTGCATCACTCTGGCACATGATCATTCAGTTCATTCGTCGCAAAGCCATCAATGACTTAGTCCGTCAGGCGCAGACACTGGCTAAATCAGTGAATCATATCGAGTTAAATATTGAGTCAACCAAGGAATCAATCAGTAATTAATCCTTCTTTCATTTAATTCGTCAACGTGGTGGGACATATAAATCAGTAAATCGCATCATTAGGCACATAATGATGTAATAATTTAACAAATAATTCTACTGACTTGTTTACCATTTCGCGAATAGATCTGTCCTCATAAGGTTACCCAGTCAGCCAATCAATCAGTGAACAGGTTGCTCAGTCAGTATCCAATCAGTTAGTTTCTTAATCAGATAAGTCGCTAATGAATTCGATAAAGTACAGGCAGAACAAGTTAATCTATGATTAGCATATAAGGGATTAAGTACTTGTACTCGTTAATAATTTTACGCATCAATAACTTATTTATTCAATAAATAAATCTGCCTTTCATACGACAGGACACTATAAAATGATGCCATGTGGTAACGGGAATACATTTGAGCGAGAGTGACGAAAATATTAGCTGGTCTTTAGAGCAGTTGGGACCGGAAGACAAGACTACCGTTGCCCCCCTTGCTCAGGTGGCGGCCATATCTTTGAGTCTTGGCGTCCTCTTCAGCAAGCCGGACTGCCCAGAGTGGGCCCTCCGGACACGAGCAGCATGACATCCCACTGCTCAAGCATGGTTATCTCAAAGAGTTAACTTGTCGGCTAGGTATCTGATCATATCATTTGAGAAACAGCGCAATAGACAAGGACAGAAAGGGCACAGCGTTTCGTGTGATTGTACGTGTGCACTTTCTGACGTGATTTCTTGCGCTGTTTCTCATGCGATATGGTTATCTTAAATTGAGGGTTGGTACTGTTTTCGGCGGAGTCTGTCGCTGCGGGATATGCTTAGATAGGACGGTGGAGATTTCACGCGAGCCACCCCTTGCAAGGTTTGCATTGCGTTGTATGAACGACCGAACAGATATGACTACGCGTTTCAAGTGCCTTCGTGGCGTGGTCCAACAACCTACCTCCAGGGAGCCGGCGACGACGAACGAAAGTGTGTCGATGCTCTCTCCGGTGTGGTAGAGCAGGTCGCCTGGAGCCGAGTGGTCCATGCTGAAGTACATGGCCAGGGCGCGAAGGCAACCGTCGCTCGCTAACCGGAAGGCCGGGTGTTCGTTGAAGACCTTGCGGTTCAGGTGCACGCAGATGTCCGCCGTCATGTCCTGCGGGAAGATGAAGCGCCGCGATGACGCCACTACAGACATCGGGCGACAGCCCGTGACGCGGGGAGTACACTCAACATGAAACCACGATTGCAACTGTACGCATGCATTTATGCATGATGTTAACGGGAGGAGGAGGAGGAGGAATGAAAGAGGAAGGACAGGGAGGTTAGCCAGTTCTCATACCGGCTGGCTACCCTGTACTGGGGAAGGGGGTAAGGGGGATAAAAGATGAGAGAAAAGAGACGTTGTAAAAAGAAAGGAGAGAGAAGGTCATCAGACGATCCACGACGCTTCTTACAGTCTGTCTCTAAGACCACTTGCCCGCAGAAAGCGCAACAACGCTCTCAATGCCTTGCGTGCAGAGGATGGTCTCGGCGAGTGTCCTAATAATGCTAACGGGCTTCTACGTGGGCCATTGCATGAGGGAGATGTTACAAAAGCTACGCAATGAAAAAGGAGAAAAAAGAATCAAGAATCTCGTCATCCTCGAAATCATCGGCATGGCACCGGGACTTGTACAAAAGTTAGCGGCGAAGGTATTACTCCTATGTAGTTTATGAAATTCAGGCTGCAAGAAATTTCTAAATGTGCTGGTAGGTCAAATTAAAACACGCTCACATAACACGTCCACACGAACAATTTGAACTTAACGTTTATATGAGCACTTGATTGATACTTGTTGAGCATGACATTGCCAATAATACGTGTTGCACCTGAAGGACCATTTCAATATTTATTAGCTTGTGGCAACAGTGGATAAATACAATGTTAATTTTGCCAAAAAGGAATCGAGAACTCTGTTTATTACGCAGACGTCTAATGAACAGGGCTCACAAGTTAAAGTAAAAAAAAAAGCGAGTGCACACTGGGAATTATGTTGCGCAATAAGCAATGTGAAGAGAGTTCGATTTTTTCTATAGCAGCATGAGTGCTATGTATGTATGTATGTATGTATGTATGTATGTATGTATGTATGTATGTATGTATGTATGTATGTATGTATGTATGTATGTATGTATGTATGTATGTATGTATGTATGTATGTATGTATGTATGTATGTATGTATGTATGTATGTATGTATGTATGTATGTATGTATGTATGTATGTATGTATGTATGTATGTATGTATGTATGTATGTATGTATGTATGTATGTATGTATGTATGTATGTATGTATGTATGTATGTATGTATGTATGTATGTATGTATGTATGCATGCATGCATGCATGCATGCATGTATGTATGTATGTATGTATGTATGTGTATGTATGTATGTATGTATGTATGTATGTATGTATGTATGTATGTATGTATGTATGTATGTATGTATGTATGTATGTATGTATGTATGTGTATGTATGTGCGTGCGCGAGTCACACACGCACGCTGCACAAGTTTGACCGAAGTGAATGGGAACTCGTACCTTGGGGCAGTAGCTGAGCACCTTCTTGGTGTCGATTCCTTTGCTCATGGCCCAGGTGGAGACCACGTAGTCCATGACGCGTTCGCTCAGGGCTCGCGGAACCTCGTGCAGCTTCATGAATTCGCGCACGTTGTTCAGCATCTCGTGGTAGCGCGCCGTCGCTGACGTCATTTGTTGGATGATGGTCGTCACGTGGCCGAAGATGGTCGCGTACAGCAGCGCTGCGGCACGTACACAGCGGTCACTATTTGCACCCAGGAAAACGCAAGCGCACACACACACACACACACACACACACACACACACACACACACACACACACACACACACACACACACACACAAGCGCATACGCACACACACACACGCACACACACGCACACACACACGCACTTGTCTCTTGCTGCATAGGAAGTGTTATCCCAAAACTAAGTAATACATAAAGTGACGCGCCAAAGATTGGAAGCAGAAGGAAGAGGGTTGCATAACTACGTTTATGTTTTTTTATTTTGCGATCATTCCTGCTGCAGCAAATCACTCCGTTTTCTTTAATCCCAACGTTTTTACGCCACACCGCCACCAAAGTTGTTACGGGTAGACGAAAAAACACGGGTGTATTTACAATATTTATGCACAATCATGGTGATCGGAGCAACGGCAGCCAAGACGGCGTAAAGAGGAGACAGCCCGTCCTAACATTCTTTGACCTCTAGGTCAGGGGCACATAACAATACATTAACGAGTTCATTATCACTAACGGGGCGTACAACCTGCCACAGTTCTTGCAAGTTACAGATATGTGAGATTGCGTTAAATTCACACATTCTTCCTACCCTTATAATGATAATTTTAAAAATTATGACAGGGAAGTGATACCCTGATCTGAATAACTTGGTTTACTAACATGCTCCCTTTTTTTTTTGCTTCTTATTGAGAACAACTGGGTAAGAAGAAAGCACTGGCTAAACTATTGAAGGCATAACGTGAATTGTTCTACTGCGGCTGGGCTACCGAACAGGACAGTACAACACTATATCAGACAGAATAGAAAATGGCATTACAAAAACGCAGACACTGGTGCAAAAAAAAAAAGCAGGCAGCTCACCTCCAATAATCATCATGCATATGGTGAAGACCTTCTCGTTGTCAGTCTCGGCGGCCACATTGCCGAAACCGACGCTCGTCATGCACGTCATGGTGTAGTAGAGTGACGTCACGTACATTGTGCCACGAGGGGGTCCGCCTACGAGCTCCGCCTTCAGGCCGTGGTGGGAATCGTTCACGTAGCGGACCTGCGAATGGCGTTAACGACGCGCATGTTATATGCTACATGACTTTACGCAGTGGTATGATAGTGGAGCGTCTGGAGAATCAGCAGTGCGATCGCTCAAGCCTGCGTTACTTCCCAGGTCGCGCCTTTACTTTTCACCTCGTTCTCTTTCTTGGTGATGCAATACCTATCCCGACTGCAGAGGTGAGGTTTATGCAACATGGTAAGCGAAGGAGGGGCAATTTATCGAAACTCGTTTTATTGGTAATTTAAACAATCAAACCAATGGACAGTAAAGTCAGTGAATGCATAGGGGCATCGTCTGTAAATGTGGTATTGATTATATATATGTAAATAAGTTAAAATGAGCGATTAATAAATTTACACTGGTGCAGACCGAAGCTGCATGCCAAACGAAATGTACTGTAGGTCAGCATATTTTTGCGCCTTATTTCGCTTCGCTCAACGAGCAACTACACATATATCGTTGTCTTGAGATACGGCCGTTTGTCCAAGCCGCCGCGGTGGCGCTGCGGTGTCGGTGAGCGGCTGTTCACTGGCAATTCGCGGGTTTGATCCTGGCCGCGGCGTTCGGATTTCAACAAAGGAGACATGGCGGAGGCCACATCTCCTCTTTGTGTTGACGTCACTGTACTCGCCTTGAACTGTGACTGCGTGACGTTGGCCAGCTTCCACAGCCAGCTGAACTGGACGCCGTTCTCGGCATCGCTGCGTCCGATGCTGTACCAGATGCAGGCGAGCCAATGGGCGACCAGCATGTAGAAGCAGAGCAGCAGGATGAGCATGGCCGCGCCGTACTCCAGGTAGCGGTCCAGCTTGCGAACCACGCGGCCCAGCCGCAGCAGGCGGACAACTTTGAGCGCGCTGAATAGGCTGCCGATGCCCTGTGACCAGGTCATAGAAGGAAGCGGTTCAATTAACTGAGTCCAGAAACAACACGTTCCGACATAACCGTATAAGGATGATCGCGGCGTATAACGAAGTTAGGAACGAAGGAAAATATTCTTTTTTTCCCCTGCGGAACGCGACTTGGTCACTCACCTGGCTCAGTCCCACGTATAGCTACTGGCAAGCCGAGCCTACAAGCTACCTCGCGGGACCACTGAAGAGTCCTTCATCATTCGATTAAGATCGGAGTAAAAAATATGGCTCTTTTAAGCTGCTCAGACACCCAGAGTATGAATACCACATGTCATAATTTATCGCCAGTATTGTACTCCGTTTGAGAGATTAGGTACAATGTTGCGTAAGCTTTTGTATGCAAGAAGTAAGGCTAGCAACATCTGTAAGTCCGTTCGTCGCTCGCTTCGCTTTAGTCGTTGTAAACAACCGTGCGAGCCGAGCAAGAGTCCGCGCGTGCGGCGTCACAACGGGCTGCAAATCGAACACCAAGAAACGAAAACGAAAAGATGCTAAGAGGTCCAGATCAACGCATTGATAATCGTATAACTAGGTTTGTTTAATTTTAAGGTGCAATGCATTTGCACCTATTACTAAGCCTGAAAAACAGTGCAATTAAGTTAGAGTTGGGGAAATCAAATATTTCTTGGCGCGTATGCATGTACCGCAAGAAGTCTCGCTAGCCTCCACAGCGTTACACTTGATGCATGTACCAAAGTACAGCTATTCTTATAGGAAATCACAACAGCCCAAATTTACATTTCATTTTTGATGACACAGAGATGAAACAGGAACGACACATCTTGCTGGTTGACACTCTCTGTCAGTGAGCGAGCGCTGCCCTTCATTTGTAATGCTTTACAAATAAAGCATTTCGTAAGAAACATGGATGGGCATCTTGTATTTACTGCTTTTCTAACAACAATCTTGAATTTCGGTCCGTGAACGAGCTAGCGCCCCCGCCCGAATCTGCTGGTCAGATTATCCTTCACTGTAGGGGGAGGGGGGCAACTTGCTCGGAATTTTGAGATACATTGAGGCAGCATTGGCCAACAACACATTAGTTGTTTTCTAAAGTTGTTCTTAACACGCGAAGTATAAGCAGTGCTTGGTCTAAGCATTAATAAAAGGTCTACCTGGGCCTCTGCCTCTCATTTTACTAGACGAAATGCGATGCGGACGACAACTTTTTTCGTTTGAATATAACTGCTGATTTCACAGACATTATACAAAACGCAACGTTGCGTAGGCTTACTACTGAATGTTGGCTCATACCTGCTAGTCCTGGCTGACTTGTTATACTCTCGGCACCTGTCCGCACACGCTGGTTATCTGCTTTCACAACAGCATAGCCTTCTTCATTCTACAACTCCGTCTGTATGCAGTGATGGAGTTGTATCCTAATGTTTGTAGGGACTTCAGTCTACCATCTTTTACTGCTTTTCTGTTCTGTTCTGTTCTAACTGCTTTTCTGTTTTGTGTCGCAGCAAAAAGCGTACTATCTGAAGTATCGAACCTTGCAGCGGTTTCTCTGGAAAGTATGTCGAAATTTTTAAAACAGAATTTGTCTATCTGCGTTCGGTCTCCATTCCATCCATGGGTGGGATGAACACCCACAACACTGGTCGGTGGAGGTGATGACAAACGTACTGTCGGTGTAAGTCGAAACTGAAAGCGCGTGCGGTTTTAGTTTTAGTGCTTTGGTGTTAGCTTAATGCACGCACACGCCTATTTCGCTCGCATTTCTCGGCCGTGTTGCAGGCGGGCATGCAGGCGAGCGAGCGAACACACCACCGGTGGCGCCACCAGGTGCTTCTATGAACGCGCGAGAAAACAAAAAAGCTAAAATAAGTCTCTGGCGTGGCTGAAGATGCATCAAATGCGTAAAATACACTTTCAGGTTTGCATGCTTGTTTTGAAGCAAAATAAGTTTTCCTGCGGGAATTTCTCGTCCTACCAGTAGATTGACCACATCGCTGTTGGGTGACGCCAGCGTTAATGTTTTGTCGACTTTAAACATGAAGTTGAAATTGTAATTCTTTTATATGGGAAAAAAACATGCTTGTTGCCGCCGATGCAATGAACCATATTTTCACTTGAACAACAACAACAACAACAACAACAACAACAACAACAACAACAACAACAACAACAACAACAACAACAACAACAACAACAACAACAACAACAACAACAACAACAACAACAACAACAACAACAACAACAACAACAACAACAACAACAACAACAAAACGTTTTCCCAGCGGTAGACAGTCCCTTTAAACAGCCCGCAGATGCCTACGTTCTAAGAAAGCTAAACTTGAAACGTTTTTCAACTGCAATGGACAGTGGTCGATGCGAACTCATTTCGTATCACCAGAGAGCCACGCAGTCTCAGGAAAGTGCCGAAATTTATGTACCAATGTGAAATGAAGCAAGCTTTAGTGAACGGTTGGGCGAGCATTGTACAGCTACACGAATATTGCATGATGCTTTCAATGGCCCCTGAACTTACCTGTTGGTCTTCGCCGTTGTCGAATGCGTTGAAAACATCGTACGGCAGGCACGACAACAGGTCGATGGTGAACCATGACTTGAGGTAGTTCATGCGGATTATCTTTGGGTCGGACACCACCTACGACGTGTGCAGCAAAAGATAGCAACACATGCTTTCACCTGTGTAATAATGGAAACTTCTTTCTAATCAAAAGGTTTTAACTTACATCGTTCTGACGAGTTTTCGAAAGAATGAAGACAACATTTGCTAACTTTGACCGGCACTTCTGATTCAATCACTTAAAACACTAGTGATAAGTCACGAAATTTCACTAATTGTCCCTTTGAGCGCCAGCGTGTGAAAGTTTGAACGAAAAGGGCATCAGTTTGATCATACCAAGTGACCGTACCACCAGACCACGAGCGTACCATTGTCGTAGCGTATTGAGAGCGTATCATTAGACCATACCATCGGACTACAAGCTGTCTCCGCACCTTTATGTCACAAAGACTGTACCACAGACTGGAATAAGTCTCCTCACTTCTCCCCGAAATTCAAATAGAGAGCTTGCCAGTTTGATCTTACCACTTGGCCGTACCAACAGAACAGAAGCATAGGATTGGCGTAGCGTACCAAAAGCGTAATATTAGAGCGTACCATTGGGCTAAAAGCTGTCTTCTCGCCTCTCCCAGGGGTGACTATGCTACTAAGGCTGTACTTCTGGACTGGAATTAGTCTCCTCACTTCTCTCCCGAAGTTCGGATGGAAAGCTCACCAGTTTGATCTTACCACTTGACCGTACCATCAGAACAGAAGCATAGGATTGGCCTAGTGTACCAGGAGCGTAATATTAGAGCGTGCTATTGGACTACAAGCTGTCTTCTCGCTTCTCACGGGGGTGACTACGTTACTAAGGCCATGCTACTGGACTGGAATTAGTCTCCTCACTTCTCCCCGAAATTCGAATGAAGAGTGTGCCAGTTTCATCTTACCAATAGGCCGTACCATAAGAACAGAAGCATACGATTGGCGTGGCGTACTAGGAGCGTAATATTAGAGCGTACCATCAGACTACAAGCTGTCATCTCACCTCCCCCAGGGGTGACTACGTTACGAAGGCTGTACTTGTGGACTAGAATTAGTCTCCTCACCTCTCCCCAAAGTTCGAATGAAGCGCTCACCAGCTTGATTTCACCACTTGGTCGTCCCATAAAAACAGAAGCATAGGATTGGCGTAGCGTACCAGGAGCGTAATATTAGAGCGTACCATCTGACTACAAGTTGTCTTCTCGCCTCTCACAGGGGTGACTACGTTACTAAGGCTGTGCTACTGGACTGGAATTAGTCACCTCACCTCTCCACCGGGTCCTACGAAGGTGGTGTGGAAGTTGAGCACTATGTCAATGAAGAAGATGACGTCCACGATGGAGTCGAGCACGAGCAGCGACACGTCCTCGCTCGTCTTGTTTTTGAAGGCCACGTTGTACGGCACCATGATGGCCGTGTAGAAGGTCAGACATAGGATCACCCAGTCCCAGATGGCCTTGAAGGCGCAATAGTGGAGCAGTATGTGAGGCGGCGTCTTGGGCGCCTCCTGGCGGTACTGGGGCAGAACCTCGGCGTTCAGGCTCATCATGTGCGCGATCTGCGACTGGCGCGAGGTGCCGGGGCCGGCTTCCGCCTTGATGGCGGCCGGAAGGTGCGACGAGAACTGCACCAACACCGACCGGCTGCGCGTCACCGAGCGGGCCAGCCGGGCGAACTTGCTCAGGCCTGCTGTTGGTGGAATAGAATGCGGCGTCGATCAATGAATTACTAGTTTAATTCATTTGTTATAGTAATAATAATTAAGGGCAGCTGCGCCCGAGTGGTGTGAAGCCTGAAAAAAGTGTGCGACTGTGCAGCCGCAATTCTTTCTCTGTCTTCTGTTTACTATTGCTTTGCTCCTCCCTTTCTTTCCTGTTGTCTTTTCAGGTCTTTGTCTGTCTTTTCCTCTTTTATTTCCGTTTATATAGTGACGTAGTGCTTTGAACGCATTTATTAGGCCTGGAAGACGTGGCCGAACCGGACCCACGCGAGGCACAGAATTGACTCAGTCCCCACAAATGATGAAGATGAAGAACACCATCCGATGATGGTTCTGTACATGTGATGAAGATGCATCTGATAAATGCCCACAATACTTATCTTTTTTACCACTTTTTTTCTATTTCTCGTTTGTTTCTTCTTTCACTTTTTGTACGTTGCTCATGTTGGCGTGTTTTTCTAGCCATAGTAGTAATTTGTGCACTTTATATGAAAATCGAGGCGCTCGTGGAACAAGAGAAAGAAGATATCTCGTGGGCGTGAATACACGCAATTCCGGCGCTCATCATCATCATAATCACCATCACCATCATCATCATAATTATCATCATCATCATGCAATTATTCGACCATCAGTGGTCACGATTATGTTGTCCCCAGGTCATTTTCGCACAGAAGCGATTGTAAACATTACAAGTGCAGCTCCGTGAAGTACAAATCAAGAGCAGTCCAGTACAAACAAATTGAACGGAATTTGACAATATATTTCCCATGCATTGTGAACATTCGCCCTGTAGATATTTAACATGCGTTTCAGAAGGTCATTTGTCTAACTTGTAAATAGCTGCAGAGATTGAAACTGATGCTTCAGTTTGTGAAGAAAAGGCAGGGGTGGAAATTGCACCATTATCTCTGGATTGGTCTTTTTCAGTTTGTTTACCCGACTTTGCACCTATTAAATGCGAAGCATTTCTTAGCGACCTTTGGCGGCTTTGAGCGTATCTATCTATCTATCTATCTATCTATCTATCTATCTATCTATCTATCTATCTATCTATCTATCTATCTATCTATCTATCTATCTATCTATCTATCTATCTATCCTATCTATCTATCTATCTATCTATCTATCTATCTATCTATCTATCTATCTATCTATCTATCTATCTATCTATCTATCTATCTATCTATCTATCTATCTATCTATCTATCTATCTATCTATCTATCTATCTATCTATCTATCTATCTATCTATCTATCTATCTATCTATCTATCTATCTATCCATCATCCATCCATCCATCCATCCATCTATCTATCTATCTATCTATCTATCTATCTATCTATCTATCTATCTATCTATCTATCCAACCGTAATCCAATAGAGTACCTTTGGAGACGTCGTCCTCGAGTGGTTGCTTGAGCGCCGTGATGTCCCGGAAGGTGAGCAGGAATAGGACCACGAGGTCCTTCTCGTTCTTGATGGGCGCCACGTGGAGCAGCAGCCAGAGCGGCGTGCGGTTCTTCTTGTACAGCAGTATCTCGAGCTGGTCCTGCGCGTGCGCATCCAAGCAGTGCTCCAGCTTGCCGATGGTCGGCCGGTCGGTGAGCTCGCCGTACATGAAGCTGCAGCGGCAGCTCTTCTGCATCACTTCGGCCCGGTTGTAGCCGGAGATCTTGCAGAAGCTCTCCGAGCAGTACACGATCGGGTAGTCCACGATCTGCGCGTTCGCCAGCAGGAAGCTGCAGTCCGCTGCGATGAGAGAGCATCCGGTAAGCCGCTTGAGAGAGATACAGGGAGGGAAAGGCAAACCCAGACGTGTCTCGCTTGCGACCCTATACTACTCTTGAGGAGGAGTAGTTAGAGAATATGTCACAGAATGCGGCGAACCCCACGGCCTTGTGGGAATCGGTGTCATGATAAGCAGCCGGCCGTTAGTTGTCTACGCTGCATTCTGGTAGACAAATATTATTCATTTACTTATCTAGATGTAGTGTCGACCCTGAATGAGTCATTACAGGAGCGGAATAAGTAAAACAAAAAAGGAACATACAAGGGGGCTATAATCCGCACAAAATAACATGCCGTACGGATCAAACATGAGTTACAGTAATGTTAAACAAAAGATGATCGATTCGGTGAACTGCATTGAAATCGCTGATCGTCGAGAAGCGCCGCGCACAAGGGCGCACAAGAGATGTGAAAAAAAAAAAGGTCAGTACAAACACATAAAATGCTGCATTTTTTGCAGGTAGTTAAATTATAAGTATCCATAAGCATAAAATATAAGTTTTAATACAAGTGAAACACCGGAATAAAAAAAAATAAGCGGCCATACAAGTCAATGTATAGATAAAATGGTGTGAACGTGGCCTTGTTGAAGCCTCATTAAGAGGCGAACAGAGCGGGCATACGGCTAGGACACAGCCGTTGGGATGTGTTCCTTTTCTGTATCGTGGTCGTATACAAGCGTTTCATGTAGATATACTTCGACAAAACCTGGACCATTGAATTTCTGGGTAGTTCATTGACGCGGGGGTCAGTTAGTGGCCAAGGAGCGTCAGGACAATGTGTACCTACATTGTTAAACTTTTTTAACTAGTGACGCAAGTACTCCTTAACGTATTCATCTGGAAAGGAGAAAAGAGTAAGAGTAAATACGATCGATGAAAAAAAAATAACGGTGCTGCCAGAGACGGACGTCCGTAGAAAGGCTTTGAGTGATAACTTGAGAGAGAGAGAGAAATAAATAGAGAGGAAAGGCAGGGAGGTTAACCAAGCTTGGATCGGTCGGCTACCCTACACCTGGGGTGGGGAAACGGGAAAACAATAGAAATGGAAGACATAGAAAAGAAGAGGAGTAAGAAAGAGAAGGATTAATAGTCAGCTCGAGAAGAGGCAGCAAAAGAAATAAACGCAAAACCTGAGTGTGAGCCGCTTATCAAGACTAACCCGTTTGGCTGCTGTATAGACTAGGCTAGCGGGAATAGAGAACTATAACCAGAACCGACGAGGAAAATATTAATGTGTGGGCTTCAGCGTCCAAAAACCACCATGTGATTACGAGAGACGCCATAGTGAAGGGCTCCGGAAATTTCAACCACCAGGGTTTGTTTAACGTGCACCAAATTCCGAGCACACGGGCCTAGACTGAGAAAATATTTTCGCAATTTCCACGCCGGAAGTCGAGTTGGACAGTGAAGCTCCAGGCGTGCGAGCGTGTTAGACTTTCAAGTGAGATCACGTATATACGATCGTGAGTCCTCCGCTACATCTGAAGCAAACCCAAGCTTGCACAAATAACGTGGTTATCACCGCAATAATCAATGTCGATCATCACCATCATTATTTCGTTTTAATTATTTACTTTCCATCTGGGCACGTGACTTGAGTGACGTCACATTACTAGTAATATATATGACGACGACGTAATTGCCGTAAAAAGCGGGTCCCGCGATAAGCGTTCTGCGGTATAGCTTCAAGGAACGTCGCGATAACGACGGTGACGCCGAAAGTCGTCGTTCTAGAACACGCACCCATGTAGACACGCGTGTTTGAAGGTTGATTGATTGATATGTGGGGTTCAACGTCCCAAAACCACCATACTGATTATGAGAGACGCCGCAGTGGAGGGCTCCGGAAATTTAGACCACCTGGGGTTCTTTAACGTGCACCCAAATCTGAGCACACGGGCCTACAACATTTCCGCCTCCATCGAAAATGCAGCCGCCGACGCCGGAATTCGAACCCGCGCCCTGCGGGTCAGCAGCCGAGTACCTTAGCCACTAGACCACTGCGGCGGGGCACGTGTTTGAAGGTGAACGGTGAATTTGCTTATGAGTTAATCGCAGCTTGCGCGTTGCTGAAGACTGTTTACCCGGTCCACTCGAAAAGTTACGCGCAACGTGAATGGTGTAAAAAAAAAAGGTTTTAGAATATCTGTGATCTTACGTCACAAAACCACGACATAATCGTGCACTCTAAAAAAAAAATATCGAGTAAAAAGGGTGTCTTTGTGTGCCACAACAATAATCGTTATCAGGCTTGCGTGCGCTTCCTTTCTTGAAAACTCGGCGCTGGCCACTTTCCTATCGAGAATGCAATGTAACCCTGATGACGGGCATGTCGAGCGTGACCGGATTGTAGCGGGTGCGGGGCGATAGCGCAAGGATGCAATGCATTATAGATGACGATTATTGTTGTGGGACAAAAAGACACTCTTTTTACTCGCTCTTTTTTTTAGAGTGTACCACAGGGGATGATGATGACGATATGTGGGGTTTAACGTCCCAAATAGCCCAGGGGAGGGTTCCAGAAGTTTCGAACATGCGGTGTTCTTCAACGTACACTCACATGGCACAGTACACAGGCCTCTACCGTTTCTCCTCCATCGAAATGCGACCGCCATGGCCAGCATCGAACCTGAGACCTTCGGGTTAGCGGCCAAGCACAATAACCATTGCTCTAATGATTGATCGATTTGTGGGGTTTAACGCCTCAAAACCACCATATGAGAGACGCCGTAGTGGAGGGCTCCGGAAATTTCGACCACCTGGGGTTCTTTAACGTGCACCCAAATCTGAGCACACGGGCCTACGACACTTCCGCTTCCATCGGAAATGCAGCCGCCGCGGCCGGGATTAGATCCCGAGACCTGCGGGTCAGTAGCCGAGTACCTTAGCCACTAGACCACCGCGGCGGGGCGATATAGAAGCGATGTTCACGGCTGCTTAACCAGTGTGATGCCGCTATTATCTGCGTTTATTATAATTTAAGAGTTTCGAATCGCAATTAGTGAGACATACGTAAGTCTAATTTAAGACTGCGGCGTCTGTGTGGCCAGCACCTTTTTTTTTTACTTTTTTTTGAATGCCCATGCAAAGGCGCGCTTTCTTAACGGGAGCAGTCGATCCGCCTTAGTTCTGGGAGTGGTCGTGAGGTGGTGCGACATGAAGGGTATCGCTAGAATCCCTGTATAAGCTTCCTACGGGAGCAGAGTAGTGCATAGGTCCGCCATCTTGGCTGGTTTGCAACCAGCCAAGATGGCGGTTGTTTTTGAGAAAGCGTGTCACCGATCGCTAGTCCACGTTTCTGGCGTGTCAATGAGCGGCGAAGAAAGAAGAAACATCTGCTTTCTGGATTGTGCCACGGGAGTTCAAAAGCATTTTTTTTTGGTCTGCTGGATAACGCGAAGCGCAAAGGCACCGCCGCTGACGCATGGTCAAGTGGCGCCAGCTATGGAAGACAAGCAACAACTCACAAAACACAACACATAGGTCCTCCAAGATTTAAAAAGTGCCAGATTCATAACGCAGAGCTCAAAGGCGTAGCGTATTGCCGAATAACATGCACCGCCGCTGACGAATGGTCAAGTGACGCCAGCTATGGAAGATGAGCAACAACTCGCAAACACATCATTTAGGTCCTGCGAGATTTAAGGAGTGCCCCGCGAAGCCTACAGCATCGATTATTTCGGCGTGTTTTTCGAAAATGGCGCCCAATCTCCGCAAATCTTTTGCCGTCGAAGCTTAAAGACATAAATCTAAACCAAATAGAAGCACCAGTGCGTAGATAACGAGCTACCGAGCGCAAGACGGTCACTTGATAGATTCCGGATGAACCGCAACTGTTTTCGGCTGTGCGGCCTGTGCACCAGCTTTTCCGCAGTGCATCGTTGCTAGCTGCGTTGGAAAATGAATGCGCTACTCTGCTACCTAAAGGTATAGCATATACAGTGACTCTAGGTAGCGCTGCTCGCGTCACATGGGTGTCTAAGCGCTTTCCCCGATAGACGTGCTTACCACTCCAGCATCCCACGTTTGTCAGACTTGTTCCTTCATGCTCCTACTTTGTGGCTCGAAGCAAAGCCGCCGCTACCTCACATCGCTAGTTATGCAGCGGCGTCACCGTGACGCGTCCACAGAGGTTGCCCGCATAGCGCCACGAACGACGACACGCTTAAAGTGCCGTACTAAAAACGCCGTCTTAAAACGCCGTCTTAAAACGCCGTACTTTTACTGAGCAAGCGTTACAGGCAACATTATCAACACAAGGAATGCAAGACGCCGCTGCACGGATCTGTACACAACTTAACAACAACAACAACAACAAAAAAGAATTCTTCAAATGATTTCCGTCATGAGACACGGCATGGTGGGCTTTCTTCTTCATGACCACAAAACACTCGCGAAAGGTAGGCGATGGGCAAGAGCAGTAAAGGGCAAGAGGGAAGGATGATGAAAAGCTGGATTGGGCACATCTGAGTTGCGTTGAAAAAACATAGGAGGCGCTGGTGTGGCGTGCCCGCATCAAGTGGTGCAATGGTGTGGCGTGCCCGCATCAAGTGGTGACGAATCAAGTGGTGCAATGGCTCCATTTTCACAACAAGAGTGGGAAAGGGCTGAGAAAAGGGTCCCTAGTAGTACATCAACAGGCCCAGATGGCATTCCAATTAGGCTGATAAAGACATTAGGTCCGAAGTCTAAGCAGGCTTTGAGAGAGTCAGTGAGCACAATAATAATCGATGGTGAAGTTCCCGATGGATGGAAACTTAGCAGGATGAGCATGATTTATAAAGGAAAGGGGGACAAAGCTGACATAAACAACTACCGTCCTATAACAGTGACATCAGTGGTCTACAGGCTGGCGATGCAGATTATAAAGGAAAGACTGCAGGCGTGGATAGATGATGAGGGGGTGCTGGGGGAACTGCAGAATGGGTTTCGGAAACACAGGAGGTTGGAAGACAATCT